GGAGACTGCGGTAACTAAGAAAAATAGGGGAAGGATGGTATCCCTACAAAATGAATCATCAGTCACTGCACTTCTGTTCTAAAGCTGCAAATCCGTATGGTATGCATGCTTATTCTAACCTCTTTCCAGTGGCGTTGGCTTCCAAAATTGCTGATGGGTTTTGGCCATTACTTTCGTCTGCATTCCATGTGCTCCTTACACTAACGAAAACGACGGCCTTATTGTATAAACATCAATGTGCTTTCTCTGACAAGTATTCCCTATCAATCATATTCACCTAATTTATGACTGCGTATTCTAACCTCCCTTTGGACGAGTTTACTTCCAGAATCGCTGCTTGCGCTTTTATATATGTAAAAGCACTCTATACCAATTTTGGGGGGATATTGCAAACTATCGAAAAGGGAACTAATTTAAGAATTAACATAAAATAACATAAAGCCTAATTTCTCATTATAGGTCTGGATATTAAAGACTATCGAAAAGAGAACTAATTTAAGAATTAACATAAAGCCTAATTTCTCATTATAGGTCTGGATATTAAAGACTATCGAAAAGAGAACTAATTTAAGAATTAACGTAAAATAACATAAAGCCTAATTTCTCATTATAGGTCTGGATATTAAAGACTATCGAAAAGAGAACTAATTTAAGAATTAACATAAAATAACATAAAGCCTAATTTCTCATTATAGGTCTGGATATTAAAGACTATCGAAAAGAGAACTAATTTAAGAATTAACATAAAATAACATAAAGCCTAATTTCTCATTATAGGTCTGGATATTAAAGACTATCGAAAAGAGAACTAATTTAAGAATTAACGTAAAATAACATAGAGTCTTGCTTCATTTTCATTAGTGATATGGCTATTACAAACTATCGAAAAGGTAACGGAATAAAATTAATATGAAAACTAAATTTTCATTATTTGGTCAGAATATTAAAGACTACTGAATTGGTAACAGAATTAAGAATTAACACAACATAACATAAAGAGTTGTTTCGTTTTCATTAGTTCTCCAGCTATTACAAACTATAAAAAAGGAACGGATGTAAGAATTAACATAAGTTGATATACAACCTAATTACTCATTATAGGTCTGGATATTAGAAACTTTCGAAAAGGCAACAGAATTAAAAATTAACATATAATATAGAGACTTGTTTCGATTTCATTACTGCTGTGACTGTTACAAACTATCGAAAATATAAGCGATTTAAGAATTCACATAATATAATATTTTATGTTATCTGCAGAAGAATAATGGTAGAAGAGGTCAAAAAAATGATTTTCTAGAACTAGAAGAATTAAGTGCCAGATATGTTTAAAACCTAATTTGGCATTATAGGTTTGGATATTAAAGACTATCGAAAGTCCAACGGAATTAAGAATTAACACAACATAAAATAGAGTCTTGTTTCGCTATTTTCATTAGTGCTCTGCCCACTACAAGCTATCGAAAAGGGAACTGAATTAAAAGAATTTACATAAGATAACGTAGTTAACATACCTTGTTACTTTTTAACATAGAGTCTTGCTTCTTTTTAACACAGAGCCTTGTTACTTTTTAACATAGAGCATTGCTTCTTTTTAACACAGAGCCTTGTTACTGATTCATTAGGCTCTAGCTATTACAAACTATCGAAAAGAGAACGAATTTAAGAATTAATATAAAACCTAATTTCTCATTATTGATCTGGGTATTAAAAACTATTGGAAAACAACGGAACTCAGAATTTACTTAAGATAACATATAACGTAGATTAAAGTAAGATAAATAAGAGATTTTTCACAACTCTTACAAATCTACATAAGCAAAATATCTAATTTATGAGCAGCTCTTGTTTCATAAAGAGGTCATTTACATTGTGTCCATATCAATCCCAGATATTTACAAAAAAACATTTTCCCACCAATTCAAAAAATTCCGCAAGGCTATTAAAACAAACTGAACTTCATTCACAAAATAAATCGAATGCATGTTTCAAGATCATTCATTTGTCCCAGTTTTCGAAACTCGCTTGTTCAGTTTTAAAATCTTAAAAGAGTTTGTTCTTTTCTTTCAAGCATTAATCCTTGGTGGTGGTAATATTTCACTTTTATCTCTCCGCGCTGAAAACTTCCCGTTTCCTTTTCGTTATTGATCTGGCTATTACAGACTATCGAATGGGGGAACGGAATTAAGAATTCTAAACATTAGGCTTAGCGTAATGGCCGCCATTAGGCATAAATGAACGGAGACTGGTTTCGAACGGCATATGTTTAAAATAAAGTATGCCCTTTCTAATCCGGATGGTAAATAGAAGGGCCCATCATGGTGCAACCCGCAAGATGGCAGCAAATTAATGGGCGGAAGGCAGTGAGTTCGAAAAATATCGGAACGAACTTTCCATTCTGTGTGCGCCAGGGAAGATGAGATTTCGGATTCGTTCGGAATTGCTTCCCAACTTTATTTAATTCCCAGTCGAATAACTTGAAATGAAAGTGGATTATTGCGTGTAATCGATCTTGTTTGCTTTTAATTCAGACTTGAAACATCCGAAATAAATTAAATTTAGTAATTTTATGTGATATTTCAGATTATTCATCGCGGCATGTTAACAAAAATTAAACCAACATGCTATTGTCAGTTGATTTGGAAGTGGATTGGATATAAAGATTTTCTGAGGAAAGTATGGGAAATGAAGACAAGATTAATTGAATATAGGTTATTTATACAGTTGCATGTAGTTAATTCTGTATTATCTTAATAAACCGCGTTGCGCCATTCCCCATATATATAAATGGATATCTTCTTTATTGGCACAGCAGACTCATGGTGGATATCTGTAGTATGTTGTAATATATGTAGTATGTTGTTACAATAACCATCAAGTCTTCTGGTTTGTTAAAGCAGTGACTGCAATGGACGTTTCATTTTAACCTGAACACTTTTGCCTATTAGATGCATAAGTTTCCACTAAGTCATGAATTAGTAGAGCTGGATATTTTTTTTTTTTTTTTTTTTTTTTGCTAGGACTATCTCTGCTTGGGCTATTATATGTTAAATGCACTCTATCCCATTCTTTTTGCCTGCAACCCTTGTATTCTTTGCATTAACGAAAATGATGTCCTTATTGAATGTACATCAATGTGCTTGACCTTAAAAGTATCCCTTACTATCATTCATTCCCCGATGCTTTTTAGTCCTGTTTACGTTATGATTGAGCATTTTACCTTCACTCCATTAACATAAGATAATATAAAATTTAATTTCTCATTATGGGTCTGGATATTAAAGACTATTGAGAAGGGAACGGAATTAAGAATTAACATAAGATAAATAGGAGATTTTTCACAACTCTTACAAACCTACGTAATCAAACTATCTTATTTTTGAACAGCTCTTCTTTCACAAAGAGACAATTTACATTGTGTCCATATAAATCACAGATATTTACAAAACAAGTAATATGAAAAAAAAAAATTAAGTCAATTCCTACTTTTTTTTTTACTCTATTGCAGAAAGTCCTTCATAAATAATTTTATAATAGTTTTTCCTATTTACATCTGGCGCCATCTATTGATAGATATATGCAACTTAAATCTAAAAAAAACTAGAATTTATTAATTAAATTTAATTATTGAATTAATATTTGAGAAAACTGTATTAACATCCAGTGTCATCCCCCACAAGTTCAAAAAAAATGTATTTTATCTTGAGTGGATGAATAAAATGTATTGTATGAACGATTGAAAATTTGAACAAGATATATATAGAGAGAGTGTGAGCTAATACAAGAAATTGAAAAAAAATTTCCCGCCAATTCAGAAAATTCCACAAGTCTATTAAACCAAACTCAACTTCATTTCCCAAAATATATCGAATGCACGGTTCAAAACCATTCATTTGTCCCAGTTTTCGAAACTCGCTGTTCGGTTTTAAAATCTTAAAAGAGTTTGTTCTTTTCTTTCGAGCATTAATCCTTGGTGGTGCTAATATTTCACTTTTATCTCTCCACGCTGAAAACTTCCCGTTTCCCTTTCGTTATTGATCTGGCTATTGCAGACTATCGAAAGGGGGAACGGAATTAAGAATTCTAAACATTAGGCTTAGCGTAATAGCCGCCATTAGGCATAAATGAACGGAGACTGGTTTCGAACGGCATAGTTTAAAATAAAGTATGCCCTTTCTAATCCGGATGGTAAATAGACGGACCCATCATGGTGCGACCCGCAAGATGGCAGCAAATTAATGGGCGGAAGGCAGTGAGTTCGAAAAATATCGGAACGCACTTTCCATTCTGTGTGCGCCAGGGAAGATGAGATTTCGGATTCAGTCGGAATTGCTTCCCAACTTTATTTAATTCCCAGTCCAATAACTTGAAATGAAAGTAGATTATTGCGTGGAATCGATCTTGTTTGCTTTTAATTCAGACATGAAGCATCCGAAATAAATTTAAATTTAATAGTTTTATGTCAGATTTCAGATTATTCATCTCGGCACGTTAACAAAAATTAAACCAAGATGCTATTGTCTGGGATTTGGAAGTGGATTGGATATAAAGATTTTCTGAGAACAGAATGGGTAGTAAAAGTAAGATTAATTGAAGATAGGTTGTTTATACAATTGTATGTAGTTACTTCTGTATTATCTTAATAAAACGTGTTGCGCTATTGCTCACATATATAAATGAATATCTTTCTTCCTCTTCATTGGCGCAACAGCCTCATGGTGGACATCTGTAGCAAGTATGTTGTTACTTCTGGTTTCTTAAAGCAGTGACTGCAATGGGCGCTTCATTTTAACCTGAACACGTTTCCCTGTTAGAAGCATACGTTTCCACTAAGTCATGAATGAGTAGAGCTGGATAATTTTTTTGCTAGGACGATCTCTACTTGGGCTATTATATGTTAAAAGCACTCTATCCCATTATTTCTGCCTGCAACCCTTGTATTCTTTACATTAACGAAAATGATGTCCTTATTGAATATACATCAATGTGCCCCCCGTTCATTCTCGTTAGATCACCGAAGTTAAGCATCATTGGGCGCGGTCAGTACTTGGTTGGGTGACCACCTGAGAACACTGCGTGCCGTTGGCAAATTTGGGACCTGAATGGCCGAGTGTCTAGCGCTCTGGCGCTCGGTGCCACAGGTTTCGGGTTCGAATCCCGGCGGTGCCATGGATGTTTGTAGTGGTTCGGAATCCACTTTAAGCCGTAGGTCCCGGTCTCCTATGACTGTAAGAGCGTCACGGAGCAAAAGTCAGGCTTCTACCTACGGGTGCTCCATCACAACAGAAGCTGCTTCCTTCCCCTTCAATCATGAGTCCATATGGGCTCGTGGGCTTGGCCAGCCAAGTGGGATAAGAAACAACAACAACATCAATGTGCTTTCCCTTAAAAGTATTCCTTACTATCATTCATTCCCCGATGCTTTTTAATCCTGTTTACGTTATGATTGAGTATTTCAACTACTCTCCATTAACATACGATAACATAACATCTAATTTTTCTTTACGGGTCTGGATATTAAAGACTATCAAAAGGGCAAAGGAATTAAGAATTAACATAAGATAAATAAGAGATTTTTCACAACTCTTACAAACCTACGTAGTCAAAACATCTTATTTTTGAACAGCTCTTTTTTCACAAAGAGACAATTTACATTGTGTCCATATAAATCACAGATATTTACAAAACAAGTAATACAAAAAAAAAAATTTTAAGCCAATTCCTACTTTTTTTTCACTCTATTGCAAAAAGTCCTTTATGAATAATTTTTCATTCATTTTTTTAAGTTTATCTGGCGCACTCTATTGGTAGATATATGCAACTTACATCTAAAAAAAACTAAAATTAATTCATTAAATTTAATTACTGAATTAATATTTGAAAAATTGTATTAACATCCAGTGTCCTCCACTACAAGTTCAAAAAAAAAATGTATTTGATCTTGAGTGAATGAATAAGAAGTATTTAATGAACGATTGAAAATTTGAACAAGATATATATAGGGAGAGTGTGAGCTAATAGAAGGAATTGAAAAAAGATTTTCCCGCCAATTCAAAAAATTCTGCAAGTCTATTAAAACAAACTCACTTCATTCCAAAACAAATCGAATGCACGTTTCAGAATCATTCATTTGTTCCAGTTTTCGAAACTAGCTGTTCGGTTTTAAAATCTTAAAAGAGTTTGTTCTTTTCTTTCGAGCATTAATCCTTGGTGGTGGTAATATTTCACTTTTATCTCTCCGCGCTGAAAACTTCCCGTTTCCCTTTCGTTATTGATCTGGCTATTGCAGACTATCGAAAGGGGGAACGGAATTAAGAATTCTAAACATTAGGCTTAGCGTAATGGCCGCCATTAGGCATAAATGAACGGAGACTGGTTTCGAACGGCATATGTTTAAAATAAAGTATGCCCTTTCTAATCCGGATGGTAAATAGAAGCGCCCATCTTGGTGCAACCCGCAAGATGGCAGCAAATTAATGGGCGGAAGGCAGTGAGTTCGAAAAATATCGGAACGAACTTTCCATTCTGTGTGCGCCAGGGAAGATGAGATTTGGAATTGCTTCCCAACTTTATTTAATTCCCAGTCCAATAACTTGAAATGAAAGTGGATTATTGCGTGTAATCGATCTTGTTTGCTTTTAATTCAGACTTGAAGCATCCAAAATAAATTAAATTTAGTAATTTTATTCGAGATGTCTGATGATTCACCTGGGCATGTTATCAAAAATTAAACCAATATGCTGTTGTCTGTAGATTTGGAAGTTGTTCGGATATAAAGATTTTCTGTGGGAAGAAGGGGAAATGAAGACAAGATTAATTGAACATAGGTTATTTACACAAGTGTATATATATACTTATATACAAGTGTATATTTATGTAGTTAATTCTGTATTATCTTAATAAATCGCATTGGGCTCAATATAATTCTTCTTCTTCTTCATAATTCTTCTTCTTCAGCCCCATAGGCAGTAGGCAGACGGACTACTGGAAGGAAATAAGGATGATTAATAATAGGAGGATGATAAAGGGTCAATTAAGGTTGATATAATAAGAGGGGTGAAATAAATCATTTCATTGCACCCATATTCTGCCACCATAATTTTGAATGAACTTCCCCAGCAGCCGAGACAACATCTGAAAGGTATATTTTAGAACCCACCGTAAAGAATCTCTGATCGACAGATTTATCTTTGTCATCTCTGGTATAGATTGAGACTCTCCACTTATATATTCAACAAACAGTCAACCAGCGGTCAATAAAGGTAGCTACTACCTCATGCTTGTTTGGGGGCAACTACCTCATACTTGTTTGTAGTATGGTAAAAAATTAAAAAAAAAGAAAACTCTCAGAATAAAATCTGAGTTTGATGCAAGACGCTTATAGCAGTTACTGCAATTGACACTTAATTTGAATCTGTATACTGTTGCGCGTTATATGCATATGTTGCCACTAAGCCATGAAAGAAATAAAGCTGTATTTTTTTTTTCTCCTAAAACATAAATTTGTGATGTGATAAGGAATCTAATATAAGATTGATGTGATAAAGGTATGATGATAAAGATTTGAAATAAAGAGAATTTAATAAGGGGATGATGATAAAAGGTCTGAAAAAATGATGATATAATGGGTGATAAAGAGCCTGAAATAAAGATGATTGTATAAGAGGAGGACGATAAAGGGTCAAATAAGGTTGATACAATAAGAAGTCTGAAATAAGGTTAATGTGATAAGAGGATAAGGATAAATTGTCAAATAAGGTAATGTGATAAAGGGGATGATAAAGTCTAAAATTAGGATAATATGATAAAGGGTCTGAAATAAGAATGACCCTACTGTGTCCAAAAAGTAAGACCAATTTTCAATTTAAAATTCCCGGGGCTTATGGAATTTCAATTTTTTTTTCTTTTTTAGGTTGATGTCACTGTCTTTGACAACTGTGTGAAATTTGAGGTCAAAATATTCATTAGTGTTTGAGTTACGCTTGACTTGACTCAACAAAAAAAAAAAATGTGAAATTCGAAGTCAAAAGTTGATTGTTTTCAACAGACACGTTCGGACTCAATAGACTTTTGTCTCCAAACCTTTGAAAGACCTTTAACTTAGAGAATTACCTTAGTTACCCCACAAACCTCAGAGACCTTTGTCTCCAAACCAAAAAGAAAAAAAAAACCAAACCTCTTTTACCGAACAAAGAATTCGAATCGGAAGTGATCAGACAAGTAAAGGACTAACACGAAAAGTTCCGCAAAAAAGGAAAAAAAAAACCTAAAATCGAGACATCAACAAAAATAAAACTCAAAAGAAAAGGCAAAATGGGCAGCCTTTTCGGAAAATTCAAAACTCGTAGAAACATTCTAGAACAAATTGAATTACCCTCTTATTCAATTTTCCTTCTTCTGATTATTTCCAACATTATTACTTATAACTCAAATGTCTGCTTTCTTTTTTTTTCATTCGAATCTTCTGATTACTTCCATTTCGTTTTTCTCGGTTCCCTCTGTTTAAAGACGAATTCGGTTTTTACTTCCGTCAATAAGTGGAATAAAATGTTAGATAGGAAGAAGAAAAGGAAGAGAAAATAAATAATAATAGTGCGAGCGACAATTATATTTCATTACCCTAAACAGACACGTTTGGGGCTGAAAGACTTTAATATGAGAGCTGGTCTTTTGTAACATTTTGCATTTTACTTTTTTCTTTGGGGGGTGAGGTAAATATTGCATTTCTGTAACTTTCCGGTTTTTGTATATAATATGAGCCAGGAAGGGTGTTGCATTTACGAGCTAGTTTCTTGACTCTGTTCTCAGCTTCACTAAGAAGCATTTCTTCGATGTGCTGTATTATTTCTAATAAGAGAGAAATGTGTCACCCTTCTTCAATGGACCCTTCTTCATGGCTCCCAGGCCCACTGATAATAAGTAAACCTTTAAACTCTTTCTCTTCGTATGAACCAAACAAAATTGAAACAACTGATATGAGAATTGAATGAGAATTAGAGAAGATATCAAATGATATAAGCAGTGATATGAATATTGAATACTGAATATGAGATTTGAATCAAAAGATGGCAAATTTTATTCCACTAGTAAACTCCCCGGCACTACAGCCCATGGTGGGCCAAGCCCGTTTGCCTACTGACAAATTTTGACACATGAGATGTTTTCTTCATAAGGGGTAGGGATGTCAGCCCTTCACCCAACGTTCATATTAGACCGAGATCTGCGGTTTAAAGTGGATTGCGAAACCTATAGTACTGAGCTGCAGAGCACTAGTCATTATGCCATCAGGCCCCAAAAGTGTCACCCTACACATTCTGATGTTAAGGAATTAATTCATAGTCAAATCTATTTACTTCTTCTTAAAGAAGTAAATAGATTTGACCGACACTAATGAAATGCATTGAATCATTGATTCTCTACAAAAGAAAAGTCAGTTTTGCGGAATTGCATGTCAAAAAGTTGATTGCTTTTAACAGACACGTTCGGAGTCAATAGACTTTGGTCACACAAACTTTTAAACGACCTTTAGCGTAGAGAATTACCACAAACCTCAGAGACCTTTGCCTCCAAACCAAAAGAAAAAACCAAACCTCTTTTACCGAGCAAAGAATTCAAATCCGCAGAGATCAGACAAGTAAAGGACTAACACGAAAAGTACCGCAAAAAAGGAATTTCCCCCTAAAACCCAAAATGGAATTAAATCCAATGTATTTTTTTAATACATTGATTTTCACTACTTTGGCTATTATGAAATAAATATATTTTGTAAAAGTGTGATAAATCTCATGGGTCGGAGAAATATTCAACGGCGGGCCGTGGGTTGGCCACCCCTGTTCTAAATAATTAGAAATCGAAATTAATTCATAGTAAAATCCATTTACTTATTTTAAAAATCAAAGGAAATGCATTGGATCATTAATTTCCTTCAAAAGAAAAGTCCCTTTTGTGTAATTTGAAGTCAAAAAGTTGGCTGTTTATAACAGACATTTTCGGAGTCAATAGAATTTTGTCTCCAAATCTTTGGAAGACCTTTAGCTTAGAGAATTGCCCCAATCCTCAGAGACCTTTGCCTCTAAACCAAAAG